TAGGCCCAATCAGGGTTTCAGACTAGGAACAGCTTTATAATGACGGGAAAAATAAAAAAAATGGCTCACGAACAGCACCCAGAACCAAGAATATCAAAATAAACTTGGCTTATCTTGGCTACAAGGACATCCCCTACTAGTAAACATATAGATTGTATCCTAACTCCAGGCAGAAGAATACAAACTGAAATCCCAACCCACCCTTAACCAGAAACTTTCAACTTCTAATTCAAATAACACTCACAGTCCAGCCTTTCCTACACCGAGGCCTCCCCTGGAGGTGAAGGCTCACATATGTAGTAGTACTGTAAGGAGTCTTTGGCTGGGACTCTACAACAGGCTGGGCGGCCCTCTCGGAGGAGAGACCCGATTTCACACGACAGAGTGCTAGGGGACTGTGACGGTGAATTTTCTGCGTCACCTTGGGGGTTAAGGCACCCCCAGAGAGGTAGCTGGTAAAACATTATTTCTGGCTCTGTCTGTGAGGTGGTTTATGGAAGAGACCACATCTGAATCAGCAGACTGAAGACTGCCCTACCAATGTGTTCAGCATCCAATCCACTGAAGGTCTGAACAGAACAAAAGTATGGTGGGAAGTCGAATTGGCTCTCTCGTTTGAGCTGAGACATCTGTCTTCTGTCCTCAGAGATCACCGTTCCTGCTTCTCGGGCCTTTAACTCAGACAGGGACACACGCCATCCGTGCTGTCTGCAAGCTGGAGAGCCAGGAACGCTGGTGGTGCAGTTCTAGCTCAAACTCAAAGGCCTGAGAACCAGGGGAGCTAATGTGGGAGCCCATCCCTCAGGATAAGTCTCTCTCTACGTAGATATCTCTATATATCCTATGGGTTCTGTCTCTCTGGAGAACCCAGACTGAGGGACTTACAGAAGACCCCATACCAATTGCCATATAAGGGGCTCCCACCACAGGAATCACCATCCTGCTCAATACTGAGATAAAACAGCTGCAATCAAATCAATCCAGGGCAACTGCCTGATGCTTGAAAGGCAGAAAATTAAAAACACCACTGGTACATCAGCACAGAATCCACATGACATGAAGCCCAAGCCCAGAGGCTAAAGCCTGGCCCTGACAGGAGGGCGGCGGGGGTCGGGGGAAGGGGGGCATTTCCTCAGGGACAAGACTAGAGTCTGCCCTTCTTAAATGCTGGGTGCCTGTTACCTAGACCTCACGACTCAGGCCCAGGCTGTGTTGGCCAGCCTACTTATTCATCTACTCCTCAGCCAAGATGAAACTTTCATTCCTACGAAGGTGGTGAATCTTGTTCGTCTATCCTAGAGGACAGAGGTGAATGGAAGAATTGTCATCAACCCCCACCCTAAACCGCACCCACCTCCCCCCACCTCCCCATGCTTATTCAATCTAACAGTAATGCACCCCACTACCATAGCTTCCTCACATGCCACCAAACCCCACTCCAGCTGGATCTGCTCCTTCTCCAATACTCACATCTTGCACTCTCTCGCCTCCCCTTCACCCACTTTTACATGCAGAACCCTAGTCTTCGGTGGCTTCTCCTCTCCTCACAAGGATCTCCCATTCCTCTCACCTCTTCGAGGATCAAGTTCTGACCCATCATAGCATGAAAAGTACCGCTGTGGATCAACGGACCAAGGAATTCCATGGAACACTGAGTCCCTGAGCCTACCCCTGAGAGGACTGTGGGAATTCCATGGTCATTTAAGTCTAGAAAATGCTGAATACTTCATCCTCTCCTTAGAGCTGCACAGTGCACATTAAAGGCCCTGAGAAGTCCTGCAGTTAAGAAACTTGCTCAAAAGAGCAAAGGACTTGAATAGACATTTCTCCAAAAGAGACATACAAGCATATGAAAAGATGTTCAATATCACTAATCATCATGAAAATGGAAATCAAAACCACAATGAAATATTACCTCATATCTGTTAGGATTCCACTATTGAAAAAAAAAAAAAAAGAAGTGTTGGCAAGTATGTGGAGAAACTGGAACCCCTGTGTACTGCTGTGAGAATGTAAAATGGTACGGCTACCACAGAAAGCAGTATGGAGGTTCCTCAAAAAATTAAAAATAGAATTACTGGAGCGCCTGGCTGGTTCAGTCCATAGAGCATGCGACTCTTGATCTTGGGGTCCTGAGTCTGAGCCCCACATTGGGGGCAGAGTTTACTTTAAAAAAAATTGAATTACTACATGATTCAGCAATCCCACTTCTGGTATATATCCAAAATAATTGAAAACAGGATCTCGAAGAGACAATTATACACCCATGTTCTCTGCAGCGTTACTCCCAAGAGCCAAGAGCTGAAAGCAACCTAAATGTTCATAAAAAGATTTTTTAAAATGTGGTATGTAAAAAAAAATGTGGTATATACATACAATGGATTATCAGCCTTTAAAAAGGAAATCCTGTCATAAGCTACACCATGGACAAACCTTAAAGACATTTTGCTAAGTGAAATAAGCCAGTCACAAAAAGACAATTGTATGACTCCACTTCTATGAGGTATACAAAGCAGTCAAACTCTTAGAAACAGAAAGTAGAGTGGTGATTGGTGGGAGGCAAGGGTAGGGGGTGTTCAATGGGTGTAGAGTTTCAGTTCTACAAGATGAAAAAGTTTTAGAGATCTATTACACAACAGTGTGCATACAGTTAACACTCTTGTACTGTACACTTAGAAATAGGTGAGATGGGGGCGCCTGGGTGGCTCAGTCGGTTAAGCGTCTGCCTTCAGCTCAGGTCATGATCCCAGGGTCCGGGTTGGGGCTCCCTGCTCAGTGGGAAGTCTGCTTCTCCCTCTCCTCAACCCCACCCCACTCATGTTTGCTCTTTCTCTCTCACTCGCTCTGTCAAATAAATAAAATCTTTAAAAAAATAGTTGAGGGCGCCTGGGTGGCTCAGTTGGTTAAGCGACTGCCTTCTCATGCTGTTTCTCTCTCTCTGTCAAATAAATAAGTAAACAAAATCTTTAAAAAAAAAAAAATAGTTGAGATGATACATTGAATGTTAAACTTGTTATTCATTTCAGCCCTTCATTTGCTCCTGAGGCCAGGAAATCTTGTTTCCAGGCAGGGATCCAATCTTCCTGCTATCCCAGGTTAATGCTGTTGTCACAACCATGGGGTCTGACACCTTTGGGGAGGGGCAGAAAAGAGGCCAGTTAAAGTGGACATCTGTTGGCAACTGCTCAACTTACAGCAATCTCTTACCTGCCGACCCTCCATCATGGTAGACCCTCATCAGTCATGTCTGCACCACATGCCATCCCACATATGCACACACAGACAGACACACGCACACACACCAGGACCAAGGGTAAACACCAAGCTACTGTGCTAATCAAGTTCTCACCCAGGACTCTGGATTTGGGATTAAGGTTCTAGCCCAATCTGGTATCTTGAAAGTAAAGGATCAAGAGATATAAATGTGGGAACTTTTGGATGGCCCCCTATTTACCATCTACCTTGTTGCCTAAAAAAGGGAGAAACAGGTCTATGGCGAGAGCTGAAACCCTTCCCATCCCAGTAGTTCTGGGCCAGCTGCATACCTGCCCTCAGTTTCCATGAGACACCCAATCTGAGGCCCTGACATTCCACAAGTCCAGAGACCACCATTCACAAGCTGGAGTTCTGCCTAAGCAGTGGCCCTGCCCCTAAACCCTTATAAAGCCTTTTTATTGTTCAAAGGATCTCAAGGCGGTTTCTATTACCTGCAACTAAAGGATCCTACAGCGCCAGCTAACTGTATTTCTCCCTATTGCTTATGCCCTCCTTGGGCTTCTGACAGGGGAATTTGCTATGGTGTTTCTGAAAAGCACTCCAACCTTCCCTGCTTCTCCGCCTTTGCCCCTCCTAACCTTCCCACCTACAATCCTTTCCACTTCCTCTATTTATCCAACTCTACCCATTCTTCAACATCCAGTTCAAATGTCTCCCCTGCTCAAGAAACCTTCCATCATCTTCCCTCCCACCCTCAAACTTCCATAGTGCTTTGTCCGGATTTTCTTGATAGCACTTCCACATTCCACCTCGTAATACAGACATGTCTTTACTCCATCACTCAACTGTCTGCTTCTTGAGAACAGGACCACTCTCAGCTTCCTGTCCTGCACCACACCCAGGGCAGTGCCTTGCACATAAGCAAAGGCTATAAAATATATATGTACAGATGACTCTATGGAAGAATAGTACTTTTTATGTTGTCTCATCCCTCCATCAAACCATAAGCATAGTGAGGGCAGGAATTCAATCATAAATTCATCTTTGGAACCCTGCAGTCCCATGGCCATGTTATAGGCATTCAAACACTTGCTGACTCAATGACCTAAAAGAGAAGATACTAGAATCCTTTCACCCTTCTGCCCTTTGGCCCCATCACATGCAGTCTCCACCTCTCCAAACCCGACTCCTCCATATTTAGGTCACTAGTGTTTTCTCAGTGACTTAAGCAACACTTACTGAGTTGCTTCCATCAAAGGTAATGGTTGTGGGTAGAAGGAGAAGAGAGGATGGTATTCAGAATTATCCCTAAAATCTGCTGGGGTAGAGATCCATGACAACTTTCTGGCTCTTTCTCCGGCCATGTGAGAGGGATGGGACACTCTGGACGGTAAGAAGGGAGGCCGGAGAGACAATTCTTATAAGGACAGGGTGTGGCAGAAGAGATGGGGTAAAGTGTGTCAGCAACACAAAGGCCCAGACCTCTGCTCCTTCAGTTGTCCATTAATGCTTCCACAAGTTATTGAAAGCTGGCTATATTCACCAGAAATAAGGAAGCCAGGGACAAATCAACACACGTTCAGTAAGACCCTATTAGACACAGGTCCCTGTGCCAAGCCCTGGAGGACATGCTTAGTTGTGGACTGACAACTAGAATCCTACAAACACACTGGAGATGGGGGAAAAGAATGAAAACACATACAAACACACTGGAGATGGGGGAAAAGAATGAAAACAGATGAAAGGCTGATGAGATCCATCACCGGCCCAGCTCCACTCAGTACCTGGTGAGCATCTCCCGACGGGATGATGTAGGCCTGGATTGGTTCTGCCACATACTCGGCGTTCCTCATGGCTTGTCTCAGCTGCCAAAGCAGCTCGGAGGTGATCTTCGGAGCCATTCCGCCGTCTGCAACAACAGGAGAGTTAGTTCCAAAACCAGCCTGCCCCATGCAACTCCATGACTGGTTCAAAGGGAGCCCTAGAGATCACCTATAAATTGTTTTGTAGTGTACTATTGCATCCGTTAAAGTTCATTTACCCAATTACGTATTCCCCCCCCACTTTTTTTTTTACTATAAACAAAGATAAATCTCCTCCTTGCTCTGCTCTCTCTCGTTCTCTGTCTCTCTCTCTCAAATAAATAAATAAAATCTTAAAAAAAAATTACAGAAGATATATAGATTATTCTTATTTAAAATTCTGTACGTGCATATGCACAGAGAAATTTCTAGAAGGCCAGTCACCCAAGTGTGGATCGGAGGAGAGGGAGAAACAGACTTCCCGCTGAACAGGGAGCCCCATGCGAGGCTCAATTCCAGGACCCCGGGATCATGACCTGAGCAGAAGGCAGACGCCTAACCAACTGAGCCACCCAGGCACCCTTGGAATGATTTTTATTTTCTTTTTCTGGTGTCTTACTGCTTAAGTTTGACTGCATTAAAAGAGGTGTGTTTTACATTTTTGTTAAATAGCCAACCACTGATTAGGAGTAGAAAGGTCAATCCACTAAAAGTCAAAGTCAAAGTCATGTGCTCTGGTGAATACCTACTATCAACTGAGGGCGTGCAACCTCAAGGAGAAGGGGATCGGGGCCTTAGTGGTCTGTGTTCACCACTCTAAAATATGGTGGGAGCAGAGTAGATCCAGGATTTTCGGACTGAGCCCTGAAAAAGTCACAGGGGTCCCTAGGAGTCTATCCCAGTAAAGCTAGACTTTTTGGGGATAGAGTCACCAGCTCCAGAAAATACAAAATAGAAACAGAAATATGAAAATCATTAAAAAGAAAATGATAAATGTAGTCTTACTAGAAATTCTTACACTTTTACTAATTTCTATGTACTCAACAAGGGCATTGCCTCCTAGTGAGTACAGAAGACTTTCTATGTGATAAAGGCACAGATGATGCAAGTTGACCTTCAAATCATTTTTGTTGGTTCTTCAAAAAACCTTTTCCAAAAAAATATTGATATCAGCAAACAGTTCTGATAAATCATACTGTATGGTAACTACAGATAAATGAATACATAAGGACTATCTCTAGCTATAGTCCCATGTGTGTATAACAAAACAACTTCACAAAAAGCCAATTATAAAACAGTGACCATACATATTTTCCTATATCCCATACAGTAGCACAAAACTATACTATTAGAATTCAGGTAGAATAATGACTTTTTCCAGCTCATTTTTTAAACAGATTTTATTTTTTTAAAAGAGTTACAGATTCACAGTAAAATTGAGCAGAAAATACGGAGAGTGCCCATATACCTCCCTTTTCCCAACATACCCACAGCCTCCCCCACAATCAAGACCCCCACCTATGGAGCTAGAGAGCATTACGCTAAGTGAAATATGTCAGTCAGAGAAAGACAAATACCATATGATTTTACTCATATGTGGAATTTAAGAAACAAAACAAACGAACATGGGTAGGGTGGGGAAGGAGAGGAAAACGAAGAAACAGACTGGTAACTACAGAGAACTGATGGTTACCAGAGGGGAAGTGGGTGAGGGGATGGGGGATGGGGATTAAGGAGTGCACTTACTGTGATGAGCATTGTACCCCTGAAACTAATAGCACATTATATGTTAACTAACTGGAGTTTAAATAAAAACTTGAAAAAAAAATAAAATAAATTATTTTAAAAAGATCCCTCACCAGAGTGGTATATTTGTTATTACTGATGAACCTACACTGACACATTATCATCCCCCTAAATCCACAGTTCATATTAGGATTCACTCTTGGTGTGGTACATTCCATAGGTTCTGACAATCGCAAAATGTCATGTATCCAATATACAGTATCATACGAAATAGCTTAATAGTTTTCATTGCCCTAAAAATCCTCTCTGCTCAGTCTATTTATCCCTCCTCTCACTGTCCCCAACACCTGAAAATGACTGATCTTGTTACTGTCTTCATACTTTTGCCTTTTCCAGAAAGTCCAACAGCTGGAATCACAGAAGTACACAGCCTTTTCAGATTGGCTTCTTTCACTAAGCAATATGTATTTAGGGTTCTTTTGTGGCTTTTCATGGCTTGAGAGCTCATTTCTTTTTAGTGATGAATAACAGTCCATTGACTGGGTATACCACAGTTTATTTATACATTCATTTACTGAAGGTCTTCTTGGTTACTTCCAAGTTTTGGCCATTATGTATGAAGCTGCTATAAACATCCATGTGCAGGTTTTTGTGTGGACATAAGTTTTCAACTCCTTTGGGTAAATACCAAGGAACATGACCACTGGATCATAAGGTAAGAATATATTTAGTTTTGTAAGGAACTGCCAACTGTCTTCCAAAGTGGCTGCACCATTCTGCATTCCTACCATTAATGAATGACAGGTCCTATTGCTCCACTTCCTCACCAGCATTCAGATTTTGCCAACTCATTTTTTTAAACAAATAAAAATACTTTACTTAACCAAAAGCGTGCTAACATACAGTGCTGTAACACAGAGTTACACTGGGGCCATTACACTACCAGTTATCTTCAAGGATTGACACCCTGACTCACTGTAGCTTGAACTCTGCTAGGTATGGATCTTTTTAAGTTTCTTTCTCTTCAACATTTTCATCTGCTTCTTCTCCATCATTACCAGCATCTGGAGCTACAGAAGTCTCAGTCATGATGGTCACCTCCCACAGATTCCCTTATGAGGTACCATACTGATCTTGGGCCTCACTGAAAAAGTGCCCCATTCTTAATTTGCAAGGATAGCTTCAACCACCGGCCTCAGAACTCCATCTCAGAGTCTCCAAAGGACAGACGTACTTAAAAGACAGAGTCACGGGAAAGGGTCCTAGTCACAATTCAAACATGCCCATGTTCCTTGTATTATAGCTGCTTCTGAATACTTTACAGAGGAGCATCCTCTCCTTTTGTCTAATGTACTGAACCTATAATTTCTCATCTAAGAAAGAGAGATCACAATTATCTTATCCAACCTAAGTTTATATGTCAACACCTCCAACTAGCTTCAAAATAAAGCCCATTGTGATCTCATAAGCTTGCCAGCATCTGAAACCTTTTTAGGACATTTCCAGGGGTTTCAAACCAAATTTCTAAGCAGTTAACAGTATTAAAGAGGGCACGTACTGCATGGAGCACTGGGTGTTATACACAAACAATGAATCACGGAACACTACATCAAAAACTAATGATGTAATGTATGGTGATTAACATAACATAATAAAATAAAATAAAATAAATAAATAAATAAATAATAAATTTTAAAAAAAGAGTCAAGCCAAAATGTAGACTTCCTCTGGAGCAGTATTTCAACCCTGATTACAAAATAGAACTACCTGGGGGACTTCTAATTTAATTAGTCTGGAGTACAGCCTGGGCATCTGGAATCTTAAAAAGCAAATATATGATAGAAGCCAATGTATTTTCTGTCAAGATCATTAATTTCCTTATACAGTTTGGCTTCTATTTGGGCACATTCTGACGTAAGGAATTCGATGGCACTGACTGGGTGTTCACAGCACTGACTATAGTATGTATCAACATTATCAGTCACTGACTTCATCAATGAAGCCAACAGAACGAATGGCAAGCCCAAAATCCTCAATTACAAACTGAAAACCATCAAAGGTGAAACGGAACTGGTCAAAGGCATCCTCTGGCTCCTGGGCACCAGAACCTGCGTCCTCACCACCACATTCTGGCCTTCCTCACCGTCTCCTGCCTCACCATCACCGTCCTCCTCTTGACTGGCCTTACTCTAAACAGGGGCATTTCACACTTTCCCAAACAATGCCGCCTGCCATCACCACTGCCCCTGCTCCCTCCTCCTCCATGCCCTTCACATTTGGCTGGCCACCTGGGTCAGAGGCAGCCACTTCTTTGTCGCCCATATGAGACACAAAGAAAGAACTCGCAAGACCACAACCTGCAGGTAGGACGTGGTAAGCGGCAGCGGCATCCACAGCAAAGGTGAAGAAGACAGTGACGGGCAATGGCCAGAGCAATGGGCTGTGGCCGTGGAGAGAGCTTCCACCGAGGTGGCGACGACGCCCAAAGATGGCGGGGGCAGCTATAGCCACAAGCACAAGAGGCCGTGAAAGTGACTGACTGGGTGAGCAGCTAGCTGACGAGGGGACAAAGCTGATATAACTACAAGAAGCAGCCAAGAGACAGATGAGAGTCTTACAGGGATCAAATGGGTTACCATGTGCAAAGCACTTAGAAACAGTGCCTGGCACATAGGAAATGTTATGTGTGTTCAATGCATAGAGTTAGACACACAGTTAACTAGCCATGAAAGCAAAGTGATAAATAGTGCAACAGGTATATATATTGCTTCTCCTTAAGACAGGGACATGTCATCCTCATTCCTGAATCCAGGTATCTAGCCCGCCACCTAAACCTACGTATACTCACTCAAAGATGACTGGGGGAATGTCCCACCTTCGTGTCATGATCTCTTCAGACTCAATATAATCAACAGTAATGAATCTTCAGTGAAAGAAGAGAGCTAGGCTATTAGACGACGTCGTATTACAGCATCTGCTCATTCCACATTCCATGACTTTCAGAAATTTAGAAGCAGCCAAGAGCTAATCAGGGTGTGCAGGGAAGTAGGAGGCCAAGAGCAACAAGCCTAGCCCATGATGTAACATTAGCCCATACGCTGCCAGGTATTTTTAAATCATGCTTTAAAGAGAATGACTCATTTCAAAGTCTCTTGCATATGTGGGCCTGCTTTTAGAAATAAGTTCCGAAACCTTCAGCCTTTATCATAAACAAAACTTTTCACTGCTTAGAAGTGCATGAAAAGCACACCGTATTTACCTCACTGGGTGGGTAGGAGAATTCAATTTGAAACAACATGTGTGAAAGCACCATGCACAACATCTGGTACATATAAAAGCTCAAGAAATATTATTCGAATCTGGATCTGCAGCACCAGCTGGGTTTCTAACATGCCTTGTTATAAGCCTAGAAGGGGCTGGTTTACTCCAATTTCAGCATCTTAACACACGCATAGATGCCAGGCTGCTCTTCCAGCATCAATAGCTTTAGAGACAGTGGTCTGTTTCTCTCCCTCACTGCTGAGCTAGGACCAAGGGCTTTACACACATTAGTGGTTAATTCTCAAAATAACCCTCCCAAGGGAGGTTTCAGTATTCCCATTTTACAGATAAAGAAACAAGAGTTAAATACTGGCCCCAGCCAACTGGATTATCAAGCACCAGGACCCAATATCTATTCAACTCCCAAGTCTATGCTCTATTATACCGTATTATCTAGAGGACATGACAGAGGCTCTCTTAAAATATCCTAAGACCAATGGAATCAAAACAAGAGGATTCCACTTTCCAGTTGGATCTGCAACCTCAGACAACTGATGTACCCTGAACCTCTATTTCTTCATACAAACTAAACAGAAGTTCTCTTTAAATTCTACATTTGATAATTCTATCAGTTTACCTTTCCTTACTTTTTTCCCCTTCCTTCTTCCTTCTTCCTCTCCTCCCTCCTAATATGGCCCAAAATATGTTGGATATCTGTATTTTTAAAGAAAAGGGACCTAATTGTATGCAATTATAGCATTATTCTCCCAAGGAGAGACCAGTCATGATTTATAAACTTCAGGTAATCAATTTTTTTAGTCAACTAAAAGAAAATGCTCTGGTTCTCCTGGGTGGCCTACAGAAAAGCACTAGCTTTCAAGGGATAGAAATACAGTAATATACCACTTTTCAGAATTCAGGTTTCTGGCAACCCAACAATACAAATAACCAGTTCTGGGAAGAGAGCATGGTTCCAGAAATTTTCCCAAAAAAGATTTTCCTGAATGCATAATTTATACAGCAGAGTAATATACTCTTAACTTTTCTCTTTTCAAAATCTTATGACAAAAATTGAAAGCCAACCTCTAAGGTAATCAATAAAAGTTTACATTAGAGATGAGAAAAACTAGAATTGGGCTTTTGGGGGGGGGTGGGTAGCGTGTGCATGAGGCGGGAGAAGGAGTGAGAGACTCTTAAGCCCAGAGGCTGATGCAGGGCTTGATCTCACAAGCCTGAGATCATGACCTGAGCCAAAATCAAGAGTGGGAAACTTAACCGACTGAGCCACCCAGGCAACCCCTAGACCCTAGAATAGCGCATTTTCAGTAATAACCTATCTCCTCCACCACCACTGCCCAAACCCCAGAAATAGGACATACAAAAATTATAACTCTCTAACTTACTACCTAAAAAAAGTGGTAAATATACAAATAGTAACCAACTACCCAGAACCCAAAGGACAAAATGGTCTTTAATTTCCAGATACATGTCCCCTTAGTCCCAGCCATGAGCAATTATTAATCCTTTACCCTCTATTCTCTCCCAACTTGTGGTTAGGATACAGGAACCTAAAATTCTTTTGAGACATTCCATCTAATTAATAAGCAAAATATTACCTCTTTCCACACCTGGGTCTCCTGAGTGTGTCACCTCGTTAGGCTCAATTATTCTTAAATTTTTCAGCTGAAAATCCTGATGATTCGCCCTTAAGAAGAGAAAGAAGAGGATATTGCAGACTTTGACCATAGGAAACGTGGCAAGGCTTAGTTAGCAAGTATATCTACTTGCCTTAGCAATTTTCCTTCGTGACTCAGAAGGACTCTCACCCCAGTATCATAACGAAATAAGTAGAAGTTTCAGATAAAACTTGCAGCTAAAACAGCACCATGGTAGGCAACCATCAGATCTAACCTCTAATTCTTGAATTCTCTTCAGCTATGTCTAATCTCCTAACTAGTCTAAAAAGATTTTATTTGCAATGACTGTATTTTTCACATGTATAAATTCTTTTGGTTCTTTTTAAATCTGCCTGCTCTTTCTTCACGGTGTCCCATTCTTTCACTATGGTTTCTATTCCTTCTCTTAGTTTTAATTATTTGGGGCCTTTATTTTAAAATTCATTTCAGACTTCCTATTAGAAGGTCTTGGGGTAGTAATCTTCAAGTTTGCTGGGTCTGCTGGCTCCCCCTCAGTAAGTTATTCCTTATTTGTTCTGTAATCTTTTATTAAGAGCTTATCTTCAGTAGAGACTACTTTATGTATGAAAATTAGTCTCTTTGCTAACAGATGATATTTTAGCAAAGTCCTAAAAAAAAAAGTGAGGGATCAAGCCATGTGAATGTCTAAGAAAAGAACGTTCCAGAAAAGGGGAGGGGCGCCTGGGTGGCTCAGATGGTTAAGCGTCTGCCTTCGGCTCAGGTCATGATCCTAGGGTCCTGGGATCGAGCCCCACATCGGGCTCCTGGCTCAGCGAGGAGCCTGCTTCTCCCTCTGCCTCTGCCTCTCTCCCTGCTCATGCTTTCTCTCTCTCTCTCTGTATCTCTGTGTCTCAAATGAATAAATAAAATCTTTAAAAAAAAAAAAAAGAAAGAAAGAAAAGGGGAATTTTAAGTGCAAAGGCCCTAAGGCAGGAGTATGCCTGGTATACATCAGAGAAAGCAAGGAGGCCAGTGTGTTGGCAGGTGGGGAGATACGTGGTTAGCAGACAAGATCAGAGAGGCAACAAGGAGCCTGTAATAGGTTATACAAAGGGTTTGGATTTTATTCAGTTATGAACTTAAAAGTAATTCTGTTATAATTTTACCACATTTTTATGTGTTAGTAGAGGGAGAAGAGCCCGCATTACCTCCATCTACCACACAGAGAACCAGAAGACCAGACATTTTCACTAATCACTCCAGGCCTATTCTCAGAAGGAGAATTTAATTTTGTTGGACAGAATGGGATGTTCTTTACTGAGGGAACCATATATTCTTTCATTAAAAAGTAAGACATATCAATATTTCTTATAAATTAAGTGCAAATATCCTCAAGAAAATACTAGCAAAACTGAATCCAGTAACATATAAAAAGGATCATACACCACCACCAAATGGGATTTATCCCAGGAATGCAAGATTGGTTCAACATACAAAAATTAATGTAATACACAATTATCAATGGAATAAAGAATAAAAACTACATGACCACCTCAACAGACAGAGAAAAGGCACTTTGACGAAATCCAACACCTCTTCATGATAAAAGAACTCCGTAAACCAGAAGAGAAATTCCTCAACCTGATCAAGAATACTACAAAAATCCCCAGCTAACATCATCTTTAATGTTAAAAGGCTGAATGTTTTCCCCCTAAGATCAAGAACAAGACAGAGATGTCCAATCTTGCTACTTCAGTCAACATTGTACTGGAGGTTCTATCCAAGGCAATTAGGCAAAAATTGAAATAGAAGGCATCTAGATTAGAAAAGAAGTAAAATTACCTCTACTTGCAAAGGGCATTATCTTCAGTATAGAAAATCTTAAAGAATCTACACCAAAAAATTAGAACCAACAAGCTCATCAAGACTGCAGGATACAAAATCAATATATAATATAAATTGTTTTTCTATATACTTAAAATGAACAATCCAAAAATGAAATTAAGAAAAGTTCACTTACAATAGCATCAAAAGAATCAGTACCTAGGAATAAATTTAACAAAATAGATGCAAAACTTATATTCTGAAAACTACAAAACATTGTTGAAAGAAATTAAAGAAGACCTAAATAAGTGGAAAGACATTCCATGTTCATTGATTAGAAGACTCAATATTGTTAAAATGGCAGTACTCCCCAAAATAATCTGGAGGCAATCCCTATCAAATTTCAGCTAGCTTGTATATGCAGAAATTGACAAGCAGATCCTAAAATTCACATGAAAATACAATCCAGAACAGCCAAATCAATCTTGAAAAAGAACAAAGTTGGAGGATTCATCCTTCCTGACATCAAAACCAATAAAACTACAGTAATCAAGACAGTGTGAGGGGCGCCTGGGTGGCTCAGATGGTTGAGCGTCGGGTCATGACCCCAGGGTCCTGGGATCAAGCCCCATGTCCGGCTCCTGGCTCAGCGGGGAGCCTGCTTCTCCCTCTGCCTCTCCCCCTGCTCATGCTGTCTCTCTATCTCTGTGTCTCGAATGAATAAATAAAATCTTTAAAAAAAAAAGAGAGGGGCACCTGGGTGGCTCAGATGGTTGAGCGTCTGCCTTCGGCTCAGGTCATGATCTCCAGGTCCTAGGATCAAGCCCCATGTCGGGCTCCCTGCTCAGCAGGGAGTCTGCTTCTCCCTCTTCCTCTGACCCTCCCCACTGCTCCTGATCTCTCTCTCTATCCCGAAAGAATAAATAAAAAATTCTTTAAAAAAAAAAATAAATAAAATAAAAAATAAAAAAAAAAGAGAGTGTGATATTGGCATAAGGACAGACTTAGAGATCAACGAAACAGTTCAGAAATAAACCTCACATTTACTGTCAATTTTTGACAATGGTGCCAAAACTATTCAGTGGAGGAAAAAAAAAATAAATAGTCTCTTCAACAAATAATGCTGGGACAACCAGATATCCACATGAAAAAGAATGAAGCTGAACCTTTACCCTCACATCATAAATAAAAATTAACTCAAAATGGATCATAAACATAAATGTTTTCTTAGAAGAATAGACACAAATCTGCCTGATCTTGGAGTGGGCAATGATTTCTTAGATATGACATCAAAAGCATATGCAACCAAAGAAAACAGATACACTGGACTTCGTTAAAGACTTCTGTACAAGCACCTGTGTGGCGCAGTCGGTTAAGCGACTGCCTTCAGCTCAGGTCATGATCCCAGGGTCCTGGGATCGAGTCCACGTCGGGCTCCCTGCTCAGCGGGGAGCCTGCTTCTCCCTCTCCTTCTGCCTGCCACTCCCCCTGCTTGTGCTCTCTATCTCTCTGACATATAAATAAATAAAATCTTTAAAAAATAAAAAAAAAAAATAGACTTCTGTACTTCAAAGGATACCATCAAAAAAGTGAAAAGACAAGAAAAAAATGAGAGAAAATGTTTGCAACTCGTATCTGGTAAAAGTCTAACATCCAGAGTATATCAAAAGCTATTACAACTCAACAATAAAAAGACCACCCAATTTTAAAATGGTCAAGGGCATCGAATAGACATTTCTGAATAGACATTTCTCCAAAGAAGATAAACAAATGGCCAATGAGCACATGAAAAGATTTTCAACATCTTTATCCATTAGGGAAATGCAAATCAAAACCACAATGAGATATAATTTCACATCCACTAGGAAAGTTATAATAAAAAAAAAAAAAACAGACAATAACAAGTATGCGTAAGGATGTGGAAAAAAGTGGAACCGTCAAACATTGCTGGTGGGAATATAAAATGGTGTAGTGACTCTGGAAAACAATTCAGCGTTCCTCAAAACATTAAATAAAGAATTATCCTATGACCCAGAAATCCCACTAGGTATGGGAAATTTAAAACATTAAGTCCACATAAAAACTTATATACAAATGTTCATGGCATATTCATAATATCCAAAAAGTAGAAACATCCCAAATGTTCATCAACTGATGAATGGATAAATAAGGGGCTTATCCATACAATAGAATATTATTTGGCAATAAAAAGGAATCAAGTAATGATAACATGCTACAATATAGCGAACTCTGAAAACATTTTATGCTAAATGAAAAAAGCCAGTCACAGAAAACCACATATTGTATGAATCTACATGCTATGTCCAGAAGAGGCAAATCCATAGAGACAGAAAGTAACTGGCCATCGCCTAGAGCTAGAGTGAAGCTGGGGGGAAATGAGGAGTGACTGCTAACGTGTATAGGGTTTCTTTTGGCAGGGGGATAAAGATGTTTTGAAAACTGATGGTGGTGATGGTTGTACAGCTCTAACAAATACTCTAAAAGCCACTGAAATGTATGTTTTAAAAAGGTGAATTGTGTGGTACATGAATTATATCTCAAGAAAGCTGTTATAATACTTTACAAAGTAAGAAACCTCTTTTTTTTGGACAGAGATCCATGTAACATTGTCACTGGCTTTCCTTTGACTTCATATACCTGTTGACAAGATGGTGAGCCAAGGAAGTCAGTTTCTCTGTATGTTCGGAGTTAACTGGTCCCAGTAACTAATTAAGACACAGGCAAGACAGTTGGAGGGAAATTATTCAGAAGTAGCTCTATTCATTCACTTTACAAGAGAACAAAGATGACTTGCCACAGGCCATACACCTCAGCTGCAAAGCCAAGACAAGAAATCAGGTCTGACACGTGATGCTCATGGGAGAATTTGAATTCAAGCTCTCTCCCTTAGCATCACTACCTCTACCTTCCTATCAAGATCAAAGGGACCATGAAGCAGCTAAACATTATAGTTGTTCCGCTCCGGTCCTACCCTGGGCTCTGCAGAATCCAAGATCCAGCCACTCTTCACTTACTTGAACAGATACATTCGCAGGCTCTCAGTTGAAGCAGGGCTACCATTTAAATGTTAGAGCTACAATGTACCTTAGGGACCATCCAACTCAGCTCCCTCCTCTAGACAAAGAAACAGAAACAGATCAAACAACTTGCTGGAAGCCTCACAGCTAGCTGGTGACAGAGCTAGTCTAGAACTACAGTCCAGGCCTCCCAATTGCCAGCACAGTGCTCTTCCCCTTTCCAGAGCTTCTTCAGCCTACACCTTCTCAACGTCATGATGTGCCATGTGCCAGGGGGTGGGTCAGGGTAAGAAGCATGCAGAGAACTTCCTGTTCAATCTTTGCATAAGATGGGAAGGGTACATCTTTCTCTGTCTCTCTTTTTAAAGAAATCCCAGCAGGGTTGTGCTTATCATCCCCCTTTCCCTAGTCCATGATGAGAAACATACACATCTATCACTCGGGACAGGGCAAAACAAGGACCACGTTGCTCAATCACACCTCAGGAGTTCAGATAACGGTAGACTGAAACAAGTTATAGGGTGTAGTGGGAAATGTGGTCTTTTCCCACCCCAAATCTATCCCTCCCTCTTTTGGTCAAAGCACAATGGTTTCCATCTGAGACTGTCTTGTCTCCATTTTCAGTCCACAGAGTTGGGATGAATCTCATCCCCTAACCCACCAAGTTCTGGGACCCAATCTATCCCTGTGGCCATGACTGGTTCAGGAATAAACATAAGGTCAAGTCAGCCCACTGGAAATCAGATCTGGGATTTGTGCTCCAACCATTAGGAAAGAGGGCTCTATTTCTGCTGGGGCTGCCAGCACAGAATGGTCATACCTCCCAGAAGGAAAGTTTGCCTTAGAACGAAGCCTTAAGAAATCAGAGCCAAGAGATGCAAAAAAAGAGGCCAAGTCTGATGCCAGTGTTGGTCTCCTGGACTCAGTTGCACTAGAAGCCAGCTCAACCCCTTTTTACCTAAGTCAATTTTACCTGAACTTCAATAAGTTCTCATGTTTACACTAAATAGCACTTAAATTCTGCCACTAGGGGAAGGGCCTGGGGCAAATGGCCCTTCTCAGCCTCTCAGTTGCCTTCTGTGTGTGATAAGGAGGCTCTGCCAGTTGATGCCAACAGACCCTTCTGCCCCCAAAATGTTGTGATTCTATAAATCTAATCTTGGTCCTCAAAGCTACTCATGTGCCTAGGACCTAATTCATCATTATCCACTTGCCTAACCCCATTGCCAGCACTTAACATAGGGGCAACTCCTTCCACACTAGGTTTGCCACACCTCCCCACATCCTTACACCAAGATAGGTCTGGTTCTCTACTCATCCCCAACCTGACATAGCGAGGCCAAGGCCAGGTCAAGGTCAGCTTGGAATCTGTCCACTCACAATCACAAGTACAAGCCATGGTCTGTGTTCAGCAAGGGAGCCTGGCCATGCTGCCAAGTGTACTCATTCAAATCTCAACAGGGTGAGATCCCTGATCCCATGCGGATCGCCAGGGATTCTGGCTTCCAGCCTTTGTGATCTCCAAACATTTCTCAGTCTCCCACTTTGTTAGCTACTGTAATAAGTACACCCTAGTTGTGGGGGGAGTATAGGCTGAAATGTGTTTGACACCAGGAGATTATCCTTCCCACCTCCCTACCCCCAGGGAGAGCCCAGGACAGGTTACTGGTGGGATCTTTCTAGAGATTATGCCAAAGTATTCCCTTATAGACAGCCTCTGAAACCATGTGGGTGGGGATGGGCCCGCAGGTGCCTATCTTCCTGGCCATGGCAGATCAATAAGGCGAACTGCTGGTGTACTGTCAAGGTTGTAATCTGAAGATTATATTCCACGGGAAGAGGGGCGAGGGCAGGGGCGCACCCACTTCCCCGGACAACCGGAGGCGCCTGGAGGGGCCAACTTCCTGCAACAGCGGGGACCTTCCTGCCAGGCCAGGGGGAGAAGTGGGACACGGCCACCGCCCCTCGGGCTGAGCGCGGCAGCTCGGCGGGCACAGGCATCCGGGGGCCGGGATTGGGCTCCCAGACGATGCCCGCGGCCCTCCTGAAACGAACCGGAACTTGCCCGGCTGCATGGCCCCCTCCCCCTGCTCCCGCTCCGGGGGCTCCCGCAAGCCGGAGCCCTCTCCAGACTGTGATGGGCCGCCTGCCGCTTCTCCCCCTCTCGTTCCTGCCCTCCGGGGTGCAACATGCTCGTCCGGGCCCCAGGGATCGCGCACTGCCCAGAAGCCGGCTCCCCGGCAGAGTCCCTCACCTTACTCGCGGTGCCTTTCTGGAGGCTGCCATTCGGCGGTGACGTGCCCCGACCCACGTCAGGGGAGCGCAGACCAGCTGATCACCCTGGGAAGAGCAGGAAGGAGCGAGGCCGGCGCGCACGCTGCAAGCGCGCGAGCCGAGCGGCCACGCCCCCTTCTGTGGCGTGCGCTCGCGCCGCGGCCCCGCCCACCCGCAGGCCCCGCCCACCAGCGCGGCGCTCCCGTGGGGTCGTCAGGGAGGCGGGAAGCAGCAGGCGGGTCTGCTTTCCACCCAGCAGGCTTTGCCGCGGCGCACCATTTCTGTTGATTTTTCTCACTGTTCCCCAAAGAGCAAAAAGGGCCTTTGCCGGCTGAAAGGGTTGTGGCCCGAAGAGCTGCCCTCCAGGGAGGTTCCGGCCTTGAGGAGGGCAGAGAGGAGAGAGACGAAGCCAGTTCCGATAGTACTGCAGCAGGGTCTCACTTCCTGAGGCTTTAGAGATGTCCCTCGAAATCACTTCCCCAGGCAACGTCCAAATCCAGCTGGCCACTCCACTTGGAGAGCTAACAAGCCCTTCAAACTTAACATGTCTGAACCGCGCTCCCGGCCCAAAGCAACAAAACAAAACTGCTCCACCAGTCTTGGCCATCCCAGTCAGTGGCTACTCCATTCTTTCAGGATGCTCAGGCCACAATCTTGGAGTCATCCCTGCCCTCTTCGTTCAAGCACCGCATCCGGTCGGTCAGAAAATCGTGTTGACCTGTTTTTAAAATAAATCCCTGGGCGCCTGGGTGGCTCAGTTGGTTAAGCGACTGCCTTCGGCTCAGGTCATGATCCTGGAGTCCCGGGATCGAGTCCCGCATCGGGCTCCCTGCTCAGCAAAGAACCTGCTTCTCCCTCTGACCCTCTTCCCTCTCGTGCTCTCTGTCTCTCATTCTCTCTCCCAAATAAATAAATAAAATCTTTAAAAAATAAAATAAAATAAAATAAATCCCTAATCCGACCCCTCTCACCCCCCGGCCCCCAACAGTCCCTATTCTGGTCTGGCGCACTTGTATGATTGATTTCACCTGCTTCCCTACTGCGGGCGGCGCTGCACAGTCCGGCCTGAACACTGCGGCCGCGGCAGCCCTGTCAGCTCTGGGATCCTGTTGCTACTCTGCTGAGCCCTTCTGATGGTTCCTCGTGTCACTCAAGCCAAAAGCTCTACTCGATCTGCCCCTAACCTCACTTCCTTCTTTTCTCACCTTGTTCACTCTGCTCCAGCTAAACTAGCCTCCTTGCTATCCTTGGAAAAACCAGGCACACTCGCCCCAGGGCCTTTGGACTTGCTCTTCCCGCAAATATTAGGGCTGTCTTCCTCACCTTTCTCTCACCTTTCCTTTGAGTCTTTGCTTACACATCACCTTCTCTCTTTAAAATTAAAAAAAAAAAATTATTTATTTATTTGAGAGAGAACAAGCAGGGAGAGGGGCAAAGGGAGAAGCAGACTCCCCATTGAGCAGGGAGCCCGATGCAAGGCTCCATCCCAACACCCTGAGATCATGACCTGAGCTGAAGGCAGACGCTTAACCAACTGAGCCACACAGGCACGTTATATACCACCTTCTCAAAGAGACCTTCTCTGACCACCCTATTTAAAATGCAACTCCACTCCCACTCCTAATCCCCTTTACCCTGCTGTATTTTTTCCATAGTGCTTATCACCTTCTACTACGATAAAAATTTACTTGTGTGTATTGTATTCTATCCCCTCTTATACACACACACACACAAATAGCCATCAGTGCAGGAATTGTGTCTGTGTTGTTTAATGATGAACAATTCCTGCCGTGTAGTAGGTTCTCACTGCATATTTTCTGCGTGAATGAATGCCCCTCGAATGTGCAGTCCTCAAGGGTAAGGGACCCTGGTGCTTAGAACAGCACCTGGCACAGAGTCAGCACTTCGGAAATATTTGCTAAGTGAAAGTAACCACATGTTTAAAGGTGACCTACACTTCTTGCTTTGACCTTGGTGAAGGCCTTAATACATCTTATCAAATAGGTCCTGCAGCCTGCAAGAACTCGAAGTTCTGGTTGTTATTCAGTAAGCATTTAGACAAGCTAAATTAGGCCCTGTAGAAAAAGTCTGAAAGAACTAAAAGATGTGGCGCCTTGGCAAGCAGCAGACAGCTGTTCCATATCCCCAAATTTATAGAGCCAAAAAGAGAGAGATTGTAAATAAAATGACTGGTTCCAGCCCACATCTGATAGATGGTGGGAAAGATCAAGTTGTAAGAGAAAAAAGGAAATGTCAGAGAGACGGATAAGGGGGGGCATAAAAGAAACAGGTATTTCGTAACCGCACTGCCAAGGAGGAGCCTGCTCAGCATTTACAGCATCTGGCTTTAGCAGAGAAAGAGAATACTTTGTGTTCCCTGGACTGGATTTGAATTCCGGTTTGCTGTCTAACAAGGCATCCCTCCCCCTCTTAAGCTTCTTTTGGGACAAGCTCAGAGAGAAGTTGTTGAGCCAAATTATCACAAAAGGTGAGAACACTGGGGTTATGTCAGGCTCTTCTGACTCTCCAGTCCTCACATGTCTGAAGAGGTGGTACAGTCACTAACATTTCCTGAGCGCTATGTGCCTGGCCCACAACAACCCAAGGAGTAGAGGACTGTTATCCTCATTTTACTGGTTAGGGGGACTGAGGTTTGCAGAGGTTAAGTCACTTGCCCAAAGTCCACAAGCTAGGCAGTGGTGGGGCTCTGTGGGCTACATTCAGGCAACAGGATGGATTCCTAGCCCCCAAGCTCTTAAACACAAAGGGGCCCTAGAGGTCATCTCATCCAATCTGCTAGTCCACACACCGGCAAGAGAGTAGTAGCCAGATTCATCATTCAAACTCAGACTGCATGGGCCTTAAATGTAGCCAGAAACATTAAGTGTGGAAAGACACATTACAGGTTGAATTGTGCCCCCTACATACACAATTCATATTTTGAAACCCCAACCCCCAGTACCTCAAAATGTGATCGACTGTATTTGGAAATAGAACCTTTGCAGGTATAATTATTAAGATGAGGTCATACTGAAGTACTGGACCCCTAATCCAATATGACTGGTATCCTTATAAAAAGGGGAAACTTGGACACAGACAGAACACCCCGTGACAATGAAGGCAGAGATCAGGGTGATGCATCTACAAGCCAAAGATTGCCAGCGAACCAGAGGAAGCTAGGAGAGGGGCATGGAAGAGATTCTCCTTCTCAACCCTCAGAAGGGACCAACCCCGCCTTGATCTTGGAGTTCCAGCCTCCAGAACTGTGAGAAAATACATTTCTGCTTAAGCCATCCAGTGTGTGGTAGTTTGTGACAAAAGCCCTAGGAAACAATACAAAATGAGTTCTAAATGTTCAAGCGTATGAATTGTGGGACTTATTTTGGCCACACGATACTCATTCATTCTCCTTCCGGTAACCATCCTTTTTCCCTCGGAAGACCCATCCTTTCCTCCCTCCCTCACCCCTCATTCTCAATCTCTGTTATTCTGGTGAAACACTCGGATTCCAGGAGTCTTTCATGACCTGGGCGTAAGCTGCAGTGAAAACTCCGAGATTGCTATGGGATTAGGGCAACGCGGTTTTCATGGTGAGTGCCGGAACGGAGCTTTGTTCTCCTCTGCCAGGCGAAAACCTGGACGCATGTTCTCTGGAACTGTTGCCTTTATATGCAACATGTGAGCGGCACCAAAGTGCAGAAGGCAGAGCAAAAGGAGAGAGGAAGAGAAGCAGAAACGTCATAACGTTATTTGAGCCCTGAATCCTGCCATGCCTGAAACCAAATCTCCCCCTGGACTTTTCAAATGTCAGCCAAAAAATTTCCCTTTGTGTTTAAGCCAGTTTGACATGGATTTTCTGTCACTTGCAATTGAAAGACTCCCTGAATCATTTAAGTAAGTTACATTCCATCTGTACAACTGAATGTTATGCATGAAGTAGATATAATTTTATTAATATTGATAATTAATCATGAACTAAGAAATGGAAAAAGCCGATTATAAAACAATGTAATATCCCATTTTTATAATCATATATGTACATATATCTCTATTAATATAGATACTTTTTTTTAGAATAAAAGAATGATCCACAGAATATTAACAATGCTTATCTTGAGGTGGCAGAATTTGGGTTGATCTTAATTTTGCTCTGCTTCTTTATTTTGAGATTGGTTTTGTTATTTTTAAAAAACTCAAAATACTACTCATTTCTCTGACCCTTTCTTCTTGAAAGATAGAATGAAAGACCTGTACCATTGTCCAAATCTGAGCATCACAAGCATAGTAGCCCTCCAATATTCACCTTAATAACTGCTTGATGGCCTGACCATTGATGTGGGGAAAGGAGCAACATCCCTTTTGATAAACCCCCAGATGAAAGGACTGAAAAAATAAAAATTCTTGTAGGATATCAAACAAAATTACAACTTCAGAGGAGGGTTTTAACCTTTTCAAACATTTCAATTTGCTCTAACAAAATTGATAACTATAGAACCAGTGATGAGTGAGGCTCTCATAAATTGTTACAATATGGCCTTATTTTTTGTAAAGTTAAACAAAAGATAGGCTTGTGGTTACACCCTAGAAAGGAATGGGAGAAGAAAAGCCAACTTTGGGGATTGTAGAGTCTGCCAAAACAATGTACTGTAAATTAAGGGTGGGAGAATGCATTTGGCTCAGCTCAGAATCTACTCACCCTTTGTATTCAATGAAAACTGAACTCAGACCTTTTGATATCTGAGTTCTATTTACTCTTGGCAAAATTCAGTTCTTTGGTTCACATGAAAAAAAAAAATTTTTTTTTTAACTTAAAGAGACCCAAAGGATTTCTTGGACATCAAATGGTTCTTGCACAAACAACATAATGATGAGCTAAGTATAAATGAATCAGGAATATACAGAGTAAGTGACTGAAACATGCAGACCTCCCCATGCTATAGGGAAAGAGGCTCAGGGAAGCACTGTGTCTCTTCCTTTAAGGAGGATTCCTTTTTGCCATATTTTATCCTTTTCTCAAGAAGTCTTTGAGGGACCTTTGGAAAATGTGGGAAAAAGATGAGAGTATATCCAACTGTTCCTGATGTTGACTTTTCACAATGCCTTCCTGGCTCCGCCTTGAAATCTG